CCCCCCCCCCCCCCCCCCCAAAAAAAAAAAAAAAAAAAAAACTCGACAATAATCCTTTTCGGATATTAGATAATAACACACGGCCGCTTTTGGGAAGAACAAAACAGCAGTGTAATTGCTTCCAACAAATTATGTTAATTGATTACTCTATCGAATCTGATTTGGGCTGTGATTAAGCAACATTTACTGCTATTAAAGGGAGGATGATGAAACGCCAATTGGAAATGAACAATATTACTGTTAACGAGTAAAATGTCAAAATGATTACAATGACGTCTGCATATTAAGGTTAAAGATTCCCCTCGTAACACCAAACAGGATATACCGGTACATGGCGATAAACAAAAATACATGTAAATGGCTGTTGTATTTTTTTCTGAAAAATCAGCCTACACGCGAGCATAGTCTACACATCCGTATCATAGTCTGATATTTGTTTCTCCGCCTGTATATTTGATAGTAGTATATCGCATAACTTCATAATGAATCCAGTACTCTTTCATTGAGATATTTAAAAAGGAGCAAGTAAGGCATAAATGGGGATGGTGAATTGTGCACGCTATTTTCTCGGTCTTTGCTTGCACCTTTCGGGACAAATTACACTAAACACGAGTCATGAGACAAAGGTGAAGTCTCTAAGGATAAAGGATGGCATTCATTGTTTCGGACGACATAAAAAAATTAATTGGTGTTTGTGATTTGTGTGTGTGTGTGTGTGTGTGTGTGTGTGTGTATGCGTGAGAGAGGCAGAGCGTGCGATGGACTATGTATGGTGGATAAGAGAGAGAAGAGAGAGAGATAATACAAAGGTTGAGTCTATTTGTGGTAGGATTAACGGATGGCATTAATCATTTTAGACGGCATTAAAATAGAGAGGCTCCAAATGTAAGTTTCAATGTTCAAATTGTAAATTTTCATCCTTTGTAATAAGCTATTAACAAATATATTCATGCTTCTGTTCAAGATTATGATGAAAACGATTTGGTTTTCATTGTTGAAGCAATACTCTTATTAGTGTCACCTTCATCTGTCCTCGTTTAACATAAAAGAAAGTGTACTGTGATCGCCCTAAGCGGAAGTACGTAGAATTGGTTTGTTACTTTTTAACCCACCAAAGCAAAAAAAGTACCCAGTGCTAGACCTTTATTCTGATTCAAGTGAGTCATTCTTTGGAGGCGGAAGAAAAAATCATGAATACCGTGACTCTGATTTAGCCGAACTCAACATGGCAGGAGTAACTTTGTGTAACACTACTGGCTATAAAGTGACAACGTTGCCTGTGCTGCTGATAGCAATGCTACTCCTGGAAAGTGTAAAGAGTTGTAATGTAGCAGGAAGCAGTAAGTACAGCACAATAGCAGTAGTTTCTAGCTCCTTCAATTTTGTTGTGAAACATGGGTGTCTTCTTGGATACAGGCCTTCTCCTTGCTAAGACAGTGCCCTAAATAAAATTGTGTCCTAAAACAGGTGCTCAATAAACATGGCAATAAATAGAGATAGATAGTAATAGCTTAGTTTTGAGGTTCCTGATGCAGTCACACTGTATGTCTTGATAAACGTGATATCTTTCAGGTTGTCGTAACGGTACATGTTACTTTGTGAACACCAATGCAATGAAGTGGCAGAGCGCCTTGGAACATTGTAAGAATACCTGCAACGGCAGACTGGCTGTAGTTAAAGACAATTACACTCAAATATTTCTGCATGATCTGACATCATCGGAGGTTTGGCTGGGCGGCAGGGAAGAGAATTTAACAGACTGGTGGTGGATAGATCAAGAGGGAGCGTTAACTGGTATGTATAAGAAAATATTTTCACGAAATCCACCAAGCTTTTTCTCCTTTACACACTCCCTCTTTGGTTTTGACTTTTTGCTCGCAATCACCAGTCTGTAAATTTGCATCTTTTCTTCAGCAACAACATATACACACTGGAGCGGCCACAGACATCTCCTAATGTAGGACAACAACCAGATTAAAAAAACTCCTAAGACCCCATTCCCAGAGATTAGATCGATCCAAACTAGAACAACCTAACTCCTTGGGGGTTCACGCTAAATAGCTGTCAGCCGAGCGGGAACGAAAGTTAATTACCCCCTTACAGCTTGTAGTAGGCGAGACGGACATTTAAGTCGGATTATCTGACAGTAATCTAGTGAGACTCCCTATGGGGATAGATCGATCTAAATGTCTGGGAATACGCCCTTTAGTTAAAAATACCCCCCACTCTGTCTCTCTCTTTTTTTCTCTCTCTCCACAGCGACATGCGCACACTTCACACGTACTGCATTCTGCTATAAGCATGAATTTAGGTGTAACCTCATCTAAGACAATGATCTGGTAACCCCCTCCCACCGCCACAAATATCTGTTAACTGTAGCGACAGTCTTCAAACGCATCTTTTTTGCTTTCAGCAACAACATATACACACTGGAGCGGTCCACAGACATCTCCTAATATTGAACAACAACCAGATACCTATTATGAAGCTAAGTTCCAGCCTGCAGTAGTGTTAATGAGGGTGAGAAACACCTCAGACACGTTTCCATGGGTGGACAGAGAATACTTACAGACACAGAACTCTGGTGTCATATGTGAAGCAGGTGAAATATGTGGCATAGGACCCATTTAAAATGAAATTACCAACTTTTAATTTCGAGTCACTGATGGATCTGATTTCCAAAATGTACAGCATAATAGACAAAACATGTGTATAATGATCCTTTAAAATTTCTTACTTACTAGTACTTGTATACGAGCAAAAAAAAAAGAGTTAAAACAAAAATGTTATCTTTGATGTGATAATGTGCGTACATCCTGCGTTAATTATAGATATATTTCCAGACCAGAAGAGCCAAGTATGTCAAGGTAATCATAGTTTCCACTGGGTTCAGAACAACAGCAGGTGGACAGACATAAAGGACGATGTATGTGTTTTTATTAATATCCCATCTGAAAGAGCTACCTGGTTTGAGGGTCAAATGTCATGCAAAGAAGCTGGAGGAAAACTTCTGAAGATAGACAATGACACAGTGCAGAAAAAAGTGGAAAATAGGCTCAACAATAACAGTGGGCAGTTATTTTATTGGATCGGATTGGTTCACAGTGTATGGAGATGGGTGGACGGTAAGGGAAGCGTATTTATGTAGGCCAGCAGTGAGAATATTGAAGATGATTCTTTTCTGGCCATTGTCTGTTTTCTTGTAGATGATTGTTTATTAGTTTACTTTGGTGTATGTCTTACAGACGTGTCTAATATTAAATATATTTAAAGTTCATATACATGATGTACGAATTTGAAATTATTAATCAAATAGCATTTAAGCCCCCACCTTTGAATATGGGCAGAAAAACTTCCAAGCGGTCGTAAGCCCAGTGTAACAATGGCTTTATATTTTCACTTAATTCAAAGTGATCAACAGTGAGTTTCTTGCGCATTTTAAATGCTAAATAGGGATGAAAAGTATAACTGTGTAATTATATGGTATTATAACAGATGACTCCATAAACCTGATGTTTTGGAGACCGATCATGTATCCACCATATCACACAGGACCAGCGTGTCTTGCACTGGAAGGGAATGCAAGTGACGTCACCAGAAGCTGGTTGATGAAAGATTGCAGCGAGACACTGCCGTATATCTGTGAATATCCACTAGGTAGGTCATTATCCTGCAATTTAAACTTATCTTAATTCTCGGATAGAAGTAAAAAATGCATTATGAGAAATGAAATAAATCTGGAATCTGAAATATATGTAAAAAGATGGACAGCGCGTTTTGCAGTTGAGCAGTTATCCCGAATTACTAATGCGACGGATTTATCGTGATTGATATCACTGCCGTTGTTTCTTGAATGAAACGTTGTCTAAATCCATATTGCCTCACTCTGTCGTTTCAAGTCTTAAGAATATCTAATCTAATTATATTGTCTCTGACGATTTAGAAAAATTGGTGAATTTCACTTCCCAGAGTGATTCGGCAAACCTAGTTTTAACTACTTTGCACCAATATACTTTATAGCTACCACTATGCTAAGTGAGCCTTTCACCAAGATTGTCACAGGCAATCCAGCAGTGACAGGTAATATTACAAAAAGTGCATCATACCTCCCATTAAATTTTGCTTTAACATTAAAATGATGAATAACAAATGACGTTGTTTCAAGCATTTCCAGACCTTTCTTTCTAAGATAATGCTCACGTATTCTAAATTGCATTTTAGATGGCCCTTTAGTGACAACAGCCAACAAGAGCGATGAAGTTAATATGACGGTATCAATGAATGGGACAGTGTCAGTAGGAGAACGCACAGGCACGTGTGATACTTTATCTCCATTTAGGCATTAAATGCACGTTTATTTGTCAAAAAGGGATATATTTGGAGATTTCAGCACGTTTGTATTTAGTTTTCTTGCGACATTCATGAAAATAGTATTTGAATAGAAAAGTGACTATTCATTATACCAAGGACCCCCCCCCCCCCCAATACATGAAATGAAATAAATTAACTATCTATTTCAGCTTTAATAGTAGGATTAACACTTGGCGGATGTTCAATAGTGACCATCTTAATTATTGCCGGCGTCGTTCTTTGGAGAAAGTAAGCAAGTACCTTTGTGATATACCTGTACGTTGTATAATTACAGTAATCAGCCCTTATTGAATCCATCATTACTATTTAAACTCCTAAGCATAAAAGGTTAGTGTTTTGGTTTTTAATATCTGCCTTATCCTAACTTCGTACCTTTAAGGCATTTTTGGATTTAATATTCAAACAATCCCTTTGAACAGCGTCGAAATGTGTTGTATAGAATGTCAAATTCTTAGATGGCTTTCCACTGCTATGCTTACTTAACGCTTATTTGGTTTATACAGATTTAAATGATGTTCAAATTTTGTTTCAAGGAAACCTTGGAAACACACCACCAATGCCTCTGATGACCATGCTGACAACATTAACGGGACTTACTACGATCCTGTTGCGGTAGAAGGAGGTATGAATTACGAAAGACTACGAAGACAAAGTGACCATTGTTACCAGGGATTGGTCAATAATACGACATCTCCCGACTCACAACACGAACAAGCATCATCACAATCCGTTGATATCAGTGACGTCACTTACGATAACCCTATGTTACAAGATACAAATGCCAACGATGCAGATTATGCAAATTTCCCCAATGTTGCAGACACAAACGGGGACGTCATCGGTAATACGACTGGGGCAAGTTGATAACAAGTAAACGAAGATTGAGCACAGAGGTTTGGCACCTTCTATAATATACACACACTGGACAATAGAAGTGTCATCCCTTCTGAACCAATACTTTGGGGGAGATAAATGACTGTGGAATAATAAAATTTTACAAAAAAAACAACAATACAATTCCATGGTACAGCGGTTTTATACTCATTAGTCACATTATAAGCAGACCTGGTATTATAACTTTGATTACTGTGATTTAGGGGTTGACACTTCTATTGTCCAGTGTGTGTAGGGGATCTCCACTGTCCTTCTCATTCTCCGGTGCTTAAGTAGGATATGAACCTCTGTCTGGCGATAAAGCCATTGATAGTTGGGTAAATGAGGAAAAAAGACATCTCCAACTCATATCACAACAAGAAAGAAAGAAAGAAAAAAGAAAGAAAAAAGAAAGAAAAAAATATCGCCAAAACAAGAAAGTTCATACGATAGCGTATACAAAAGAGATTTATGGAAATTATTTGCACGGATGTAAGCAGCAGTCTGCTTAGGTATAATAAAAAAGCAAATTGTTTTTTTTTTAGCCAGACTAACATTTTCCTCACGAAAATCAGCACTACGAGTACGAGATCCTTTGCAATCGATACACGATCGGACTCCCGTAGAACAATGTTTTCTTTCTGTTTGATGATCACGCAGGGTGCTTTTATTTATTCATGATAATCTATCAACTTTTTTCAGTGAGATTTTATAATCTTTTGAAAACATTTTGTGTATTTTTTTAATCATTGTATCATTTGTATAGTTACGCCTTTTCGGTATTTCCCGTTCGTCGTTTTCTTTTAATTTTATAAGCAGATATTTTTCACTACTCCTCTATGTATAACGTGGAATGCCTTAGAATTAGGTCTGCTGTTTTAAATGCTTTTATTTTTATAATTATTATTTTGCTTTTTTCATAAACAGGTTGTTGAGATATCTGGGAAGCAAAAATTCTGTAAAGCTTCAAATATTCTGTGATATAACCAATCAGCCCGATGGTGATTCATTGTTTAACAATTTTGTTATCTGTTTTTTAACAGGTGACAGCCTTTGATGTATGGATTTAATTTGTTTAACTTCACGATATATGTAAACATATCCACTTAACCTAACTTTCGATCGTTTTCGATATTTTTCTTATTGGTTTCACAATTACAGTTCAGTCAAAACATTGTATTTGCTTAATTAATAGAACATTTTTAAATTTTCATATAGCACGAAACATTTGCCTCGTTAACTGTTTAAGACTTGGTAGTGAAACTAAATGTTGATGATGGGCATAACCATCGCATTTCCCCGCACTTCGCCCCCATCCCTACGATGCGATTATCTTGCCCTGCGAGGATGGGGCTTGTGGGATGCGGGGAGTCCATGAGGAGATTATACGGCATTGCATTTAACTGGGTCGGCCATATTTGATTCGCGGACAAGTAAGTCCGTAGATCAACTTGTTCTGAATGGGCCCATAATAGCACCATAAGAAATCTGATTTCATGCATGGTTATTTATAAGTATCTATGATAAATTATCTGTAAAAATGGAATCATCCGGCCCTCGAGAGAGCCCTACACCAAATCTGAAGACGGGCAGAGAAGGAACTTCAAAAGTTATTTCCATGTGGTATTTTTTGACATTTTTAATAATCACTTAAACATGTGCTAAAGCTTCTGTCCGTTATTTGAAATAGACCTATTAATGCGAGCACGGTTCGATTTAACATTGTAAAAGTAACCCTGTATTAGTGTAACCTATATTGCGGCTGCAGAAATAGTCACGTCAAAGGTCATGGATCAAGTTCTTCACGTGAAGATGAACAGATTCCATGCACTGTTTGTTGACGACATCCTGCATTTTAACGAATATTCGAGATTCGTGCGCCTGCGCGTCCATGCATGCGACTGACTGTCGGAGTTAACTTGAAGGGGGCACTGACGGAGCAGTCATCCCAAAATAAAGTTTCAGTCGGTATTTTATCACTTGTAACAGTTATCATTCCAAACGTGAATTAGCTTCTTTTCACAGATCGGGTGTTAATTTGTAGTATCAACACGAACATTTCACCCTGACTCTCCATTGTTAAAGTAACCTCATATTTAGGTTAACCTATATTGCAAATCGTCAATAAAGTATATCATAGCCCCCTCCGACACCTGAGTGAGTATGTATTGAATTCACGCATATAAAAAGTACGCAGAGGTGAATTGTTAGTCTTTTATACACTCGCTCTGCATTTATGAACACAAAAAGAGAAGTAAGAAAAGTACATAATGCTTGCTGTTTATCCTGATTTAAGTGAGTCAGTGTTGGAAGGCGGAAGAGAAAATCATGAGGGCCATGACTTGACATATAGGTGTAGACGGACACAAGATGGCAGGAGTAACTTTATGTAACATGGCTGGCTGTACAATAACAATATTGTCTATGCTTCTGACCGTTCTCTCACTCCTGGGTAGTGTACAGGGCTGTAATGTAGCAGGAAGCAGTAAGTAGAATACATTGAACTATGGTGTAACATGGGAGTTTTTTCTTTGTATCCTAGCACCTCGTGTGCTCAGCTGAATGTGTGAGCTTTATCATGGCCATGATACAAGTTAGAAGTATAAATATCAATGTTCTTAAATAATCACTAATTTTATATCAACTAGTAAAAAAAACAGCAGCGTCGCATGGATGGGTGGGGTTGTATTTTTGCCAAACAAGAGTCTTCGAATGTACTCCACTTCTCATGTGAACGTTTAACCCATTGTTGACAAGTAGTCCTATGCTAACCACGTACCACGCCCAAATGAATGCCTCCTTACCTGAACAGTAATACGACTAATCTGGGCCCATAAAACCTACAACACATATACCACCTCTCACAGAGTGAACGTAATTCTATTTTATGTCTCCTCCATCCCAGTGTACCATAAACTTTCATAGTCCCATTCACAACAAGAAAGATGCCAACAAATAATATCGATTGTTCGAGATTTGGCAAAACAAGGCCGCTTTTATTATCTAACCCCACTATCCTAACCATTTTAACAACAATAAAGATGTAACAAATTGTTGCCTGTATTAAGTGTTATGGCCTTAGGGATAAAGATACACATCTATCAAATATTCAGTAAGACTCATCATCCTAAAACCTATGATGTGATGAGTCAGCAAAAGTTATTATTTACAAACAATTTTGCACAAATTTAGTTTGTGGGGTTGCCTTTTCGAACAACTGTAGTGTTAATGTTTTTGCTGGATATCCTGTGTCCATATTGAAGTAACTTATGCCATTCTTTGAGAAAGTGATAAAATTTCACTTTTATAATTCCGCAATGACAGCCTACATTGAAAATGCTGCAGATGCTTGAAGCATGAAGGGTTTATATCTAACGATATACTGTATCGGTATATATATATATATATATATATATATATATATATATATATATATATATATATATATATATATTTACCTCAAGTTTAATCAGATTACAAACTATGAGTGAGCGTTAAAAGTCTCGTACTTTTCCGGCATCAAACATATTCTTTTTTGAAAGGAAAAAGTAGGTTTTGTGCAAATTTGTCTCAATTTCATTCGCAAAAATACCTAACGTAGGGCAGAAATTTGGCTTTAAAAATGCATACCAAGCAATAATAATTTTTGATATTCAGATTAAATTTTCAGGTGCCTGATTGATAGTATTACTACTGGCTAAGATGTGGTATGTATATGCCGAGGCTAAAATATACATGTACATGTGTTGTGTTTCAGGTTGTGTTAACGGTACATGTTACTTTGTGAACACTAACGCAACGATGTGGCAGAACGCCATGGAACATTGTAAGAATGCATGCAACGGTAGACTGGCTGTCGTTAAAGACGATGACACCCAAAAATTTCTGTATAATTTGACATCGTCATTAGTTTGGCTGGGCGGCAAGGAGGTGAATTTAACAGACTGGATGTGGATAGACCAGGAGGGTGCGTTAACTGGTATGTATAGGAAACTAAGTTACAAATACCCTACTCTCTCTTTTTTCTCTCTCTCTCCACATCCTCATGCGCACACTTCACACGCCATGCATGCTGCCAGTAGCATGTATTTGGGTGTAACCTTATTAAAGACAGTGATCAAGTAAACCCCCGCACCTCCACGAATACCTGTTAACTGTAGCGACAGTCTTCAAACGCATCTCTTTTTCAGCAACAACATATACGAACTGGAGCGGGCCACAGTCATCTCCTAATATTGGACAACAACCAGATACCTATTATGAAGCTAAGTTCCAGCCTGCAGTAGCTCTAATGAGGATGAGAAACACCTCAGACTCGTTCCCATGGGTGGACAGAGAATACTTGCAGACACAGGAGTCTGGTGTCATTTGTGAAGCAGGTAAACCAGAGGGGAGCCGCTATATTCAATTTGTATAATACAAACAAAACAGACTGAAAAAAAAGCATATGAGAGATCACTATTGTTAACTCTGCATAAATACAGATTCATATAAACTTTTTTTAATTTTATGTAAGTTTTAAGGAATGGCAAAATTATAATATTTCTGTTTTTTTAAGTGCAAATACCCTGCATCACATAAAGACTAATTCCTACGTTTCCAGACCAGAAGAGCCAAGTATGTCAAGGTAATCACAGTTTCCACTGGGTTCAGAACAACAGCAGGTGGACAGACATAAAGGACGATGTATGTGTTTTCATCAATATAACATCTGTAAGAGCCACCTGGTTTGAAGGTCAAAGGTTATGCAGTGAAACTGGGGGAAAACTTCTGAAGATAGAAAACGACACCGTACAGGAAAAAATGGAAAAAATGCTCAACCATAACAGTGGGTCGCGGTATTATTGGATCGGATTGGTTCACAGTGAATGGAGATGGGTGAATGGTAAGGGAAGTGTTAGGCTGTGAGTGCCGAGCCACTAATGGGTTAATTGAACTAAACGAAAACACTTCTCTCTATAGAGGGTACATTTTACATTTTATTTGTTCTTTTAAAAACTAACATGTTGATGGAAATTTAATAACGTTTGTCACAAGTCATCCGTGGGGTGGTTACGTTCTCTGAGTGTTTTACTGGTTATTTTTTCGGTATTTTTTAATTCCACCTTTGAATGACTTGCTAATTTAATTAATTTATAAGGATAATATGTATAAATGAATATTTATGTGGTATTATTACAGATGGCCCCATTAAACTGATGTTTTGGAGACCGACCATGTATCCACCATATCACACAGGACCAGCTTGTCTTGCCCTGGAAGGGAATGCAAGTGACGTCACCAGAAGCTGGTTGATGAAAGATTGCAGCGAGACGCTGCCATATATCTGTGAATATCCACTAGGTGAGCCAGTCTATTGCTGAATACATATTAAACATAAAAGATTCATTCATAAAAGATTTCAGAGAAAAGTCTTACATACAACGAGGAAACAAATGAAAACTGGTAAAGGAATTTGAAACACGCAGAAAGTAGGCCTACTAAAGGAAGCGTGCGCTTTGCTGTCGATTAGATAGGCCTATCTCGTTAAACTGACACACTAACGCAAATGTACATGCACAGAAAGCAATCTGAGCGATGGAATTCAGCACCAAGCTACTTTTGTAATTTAGAAATTTCCTTAGTTTTAAAGTATTCTGATGTTAGACCTTTATCATCAGTACTTTTCATTACAGAACGAACAACTTGGTCAACTACTACGTCCGCTGAAGGAAGTCCTGCGGTTACATCGGGTAAAGAAAGACAAAATGAATTGAATTTAAAAAAACGAAGCTACTCATATCTTGTTGATATCGGTTCAACGTTTTTCAATTTCCTACACATACACATATGTACAGGGTCAACCTTTGCACAAATTACCTTGCTATGCTTCTTATGTCCCTTCATGACAACCATTCCCTTACTACGGTACATGTCTGTGATAGAGGGTGAGGATCTGACTCGTATTAATATTCTTGCCTCTATAATCATTTTAATGAATAAAACACTGGACAAAACCACTAAGTAGTTTCAAGTTAAAAACCAACCGGATTCACTTAAAAGTTGCCTCTGTTAATTCTTAAAAGTTGAAAATTCCGCGTGAACCTTAGGCAAGCCTCTTTTTAAGAACTTTTTACCACTTGACTTTTATAGATGTTCCCATGACAAGCATGCCCACCACCAGGATCATGACAGTAAATCCTTCAGTAGCAGATAATACAACAATAACAGGTACCGGCGTGTTCGGCTTTTATCCCCAATTAAATTTTGTTTCAACATTCAGACCATACAGTAAAACAATAGACGTGTTTTGTTAAATTAAGTAGGCCCCTTTTCTAAAATGGTTTGTATCCCGTCTTACAGATGGCTCTTCAGTTACCCCTGCTTCTAAGACCGATGACGAAAATGTGACGTCAGTAATAACAGAGACAGTCACTGTGAGAGGAAGCACTGACATACGTGAGGCTATTTAATTACATTCACGCCTTTGTCACATTTTACCACATTCATGGCCTACAACGTGTACAAGTATTCTCCCTAGCTTTTCCCACTTATGTTTGTTCCAAGCTTTGGCAATAGCGCTTGTCTAACTAAAAATACAAAATGAGAATAATAATAATAATTTTCATCAAAAGATCTCCTGAGCTTAATAAATATACAGCCCTTGATCAATACCATGTCTATTTCTTCTTAAGACTTTCACAATTTTGTTTGCTATTTCTCTCTTAATATTTTTAAATCTCATTCAATTACCACCACCACTAATATTAATAATAATAATGTTTATCGAACGTGTGCATCTGAAAGTGACTTTGGTAAAAGTTGAAGATTGCGTGCACGTTTTTTCACTTTTTAAGATTTTAGCTCTTAATTTGTGAAGTTTCTTAAAAAAACATACGAAACATATGACTCTTGCTTTCCTTAACCTGTATATTTTGATAGCTGTTTATTAACCATATCATATCATATTATTCATTTATTCTTTCTTATATAAACAGTAACATTAGAAGTACTGGTGGCGTAAACATGTTTTATAACTTTACGAGTTAGTGAATTATATTAAATAATCATATTGTCATAAAAAGAGTTTATATGGGATATTTAAATAATGTTTTCAACGTGCAAGGACAAATACAGATAACATATTGAACTGGAGGATATAACGGAAAATCTCACACCCTTTTGTACACCAGATATGTGAACAGTCCGTAACATGCATATCCAATGCCTCATGTTTTTAATGCTCCTTTCCCATTTTAGGTACTGAAGTGCCCCATACTAGTGGTAGGTATACAGTTAAACCAGTGTCTCCTGGTAAACGTATTTATAAAGTCATAAATTCTTCTGATCTTTATCATAATCAAACTGATTTCATTGTACGATTATTGTTTAATGTGAATTTTTAAAAATTGTTAATAACCCAATACATCAAATGGATAGCTAAACAACTATTATCCATATCACTGCAGTCCCTCAGTGGTGCATACAGATGAGTATCTAGATAATTACACTTTATCAAAATTGACTTGAGCAAACTGAATTTTTACATTAAGCTTTTATTTTCACCTCTGATAAAATAAAATTAAAAGTGCAGGCACTTTATATATTTACATAACCTTAAGAGGCATTACTAAATATTTGAATAGAAAAAGGTATTTAACGTATTAGAAAGTATTTCTGTAAAATCCTTTTGTGAAATACTTCTGAAACGAGACAACCATATATGTATCTATATTTTTTTCAGGGATGATAGCAGGTATTGCTATTTCATTAGTGATCATCTTGGTAATTGTCGGCGTCGGCTTTTGGTGGAGGAGGTAAGAAAGCCCATTTGTCTCAAGGATTACCTGTGCATGTTATAATTCCAGTAATCAGACTTAAATCAGTTTAAAACATTGCCATCGAATCTTGGAAATTCGTTGTGGTGTGAATTTTGATAGGACCGATCGGTCTTAACCTTATAACATGACTTCTGTGGTATTTTTTAAAAGAATTCGATTGGCAGCATGGAGGCATGGTTAATAACAGTTTCAAGATTCATATGTTTAAATAACATTTTAACCCAATGAAACTTCTCATTGTCTTTGGTCTATGCAGGTATTTAACAATATGTCATTTAATTCAGGAAAAGAAAGACTAATACACATATCACCAAGGCCTCTGTTCTGTATACCGACGAGACAGCTGGGTCTTACTATGACCATGTTGCGACAGAAGACGGTCTGGATTCCCAGACACCGAAAAGAGAAACTCGTCCTTATTACAAGGAATTGGTAACTAGGGCGGCTTACGATTCAAAACAGGCAAAACATGGCGAACAAGCACAAACAGGATCTGCTGAAATTGATAACGTCACGAATGAAAACATCGTGGTAGGAGGCACAAATGGTGTCCATGCTGGGCACAGAGTTTCAGACAGAAACAGCAACATGATAGGAAGCGGAACTTACGCAAGTATTGACCGCGATGATGGAGCAGATTTAAAAGCAGATTTCGGGCGAAGTTTTGGCACCTACTCTACTATGGATGACGTCAACGTGCCTCACTTTACGTCACTAGATGCTACCAAAGGCATGGGGCGTGAGCCTCCGTCCAGCGACAATGACAATGGCAATAAAGTCACTGACAGCGCTTTAAGTGAAGACGACATTTCCCAACTTTATGGAAAAGTAGACATGGCAAAAAAGAGGAAGTATCGTCAGCAGCATGAAGGATATCCAGACGATACCATTGACGAAATAGAGATGACTGAAAATGATATATATGGGAAATGAGCAGTAGTATCTTTTGTATATTAGGAGATCAAAGGATTTAAAGGCCAGCTAACACTTTACTCTCAAAACCACCTGTATACTTTTAAAATGCTTAAGAATAAATCTGTTACCCGCATAGAAGTAGGCTTTATCGTATAATGGAAGCTCCAGCATATTCTTACTCGACAAATTATTTGAGTAATATGCCTGGCCTCCCTTTTTTTTTTATTTTTTTCTTGTTTATAGCAACCACTGACCCCCCCTCCCCCTTCGATTTCTGGTCTCCTCTTGAAATTAGAATTTTGACTAGCCGAATCATAGTTCTAAACCGTACCAAATTGCACCGTTCGCCCTCTAAAATACCCACGCCAAGGGGGGGGGGAGGTCGGCGTCGCATCTGCGGACCCCCCTTCAAATAAAACTGGATCCGCCCCTGGGCACAACCATCGCATTTCCCCGCACTTCGCCACACTGTGAATTCAACTGGTGATCGCCCACAGGGCCCGATCCCAACGATTATCTTAGCCACTACTTGGGTCTCGGCTATTGCTGATAAACAACATCAGCCCATGGAAATAAATACCACGTACTTCCATTATCAGGCGTAGAGAACAAGACAAATATCAGCACAATAACCAATTGTGCCCTGTGTCCCTACAAGGACGGGGCGTGTGGGAGGTGGGGAGTCCATGAGGGGATTATGCGGCATTGTTTTTAACTGGGTCGGCCATATTTGATTCTCGGATTAGTAAGTCCGTGGACCAACTTGTTCTGAATGGGCCCATAACAGCAACATAAGGAATCTGATTTCATGCATGGTTTTTTTCAAGTATCGATGATAAATTCTCTGTTAAAATGGGATCATCCCGGCCCAGGAAGAGCCTACACCACATCTTAAGACGGACAGATAAAGAACTCCGAAAGAAATTTTCAGGTGGTATTTTCTAAACTTATAAAAATAACTTCCACGTATGCTAAAGCTTCTGCTTCTGTCTGCTATTTGAAGTAGGCCTATTAGCGAGCACGGTTCGATTTTACATTGTTAAAGTAACCCTGTATTAGTGTAACCTATATTGTGGCTGCAGAAATAGTCACGTCACAGGTCATGGATCAGGTCCCTTCACGTGAAGATGAACAGATTCCATGCACTGTTTGTTGACGACATCGTGCCATTTCAACAAATATTCGAAATGCGTGCGCGTCCATGCGTGCGTACGACTGTGGGTGTGAACTTGAAGGGGGGAACTGACGGAGCAGGAATTCCAACAGAAATAACTTGTAACAGTCATCATTCTAAACGTTCACAGATCCGGTGTTAATTTGTAGTTTCAACACGAACGTTTCACCATGACTCGCCATTGTTAAAGTAACCTCATATTTAGGTTAACCTATATTGCAAATCGTCAATAAAGTATATCATAGCCCCCTCCGGCACCTGAGTGAGTATGTATTGAATCCCCGCATAGAAAAAGTACACAGAGGTGTTTTGTTAGTCTTTTATCCACTTCCTCTGCGTTTATATACACAAAAAGAGAAGTAAGAAAAGTACGTAATGCTTGGTGTTTATCCTGATTCAAGTGAGTCAGTGCTGGAAGGCGGAAGAGAAAATCATGAGGAGCATGAGTTGACATACAGGTGTAGACGACACAAGATGGCAGAAGTAACTTTATGTAACATGGCTGGCTGTACAATAACAATGTTATCTGTGCTGTTGATCATTCTCTCACTCCTGGGTAGTGTACAGGGCTGTGATGTAGCAGGAAGCCGTAAGTAGAATACTTTTGTAATGAACCTTTTACATATGCCTATGATGAATGTCCTAAACTTATATAATTTTAAAGGCTTAATTCAAGCGTGGGCTCGAAATAGGACATTACATGTTCGTCTAACTTAGTGGATAACACCATCCGAAGACTCCACGGTTCGTGTCAGATTTACGTAAGGTCGCTCAAAGAAAACCCAAGTCCACCTAATGACCAGTTAAATGATTTATTCGTTGACGCTAGGTAACTACATATTCTAAGTGAAGTCCCCAACTCCTAACTCGTCAGCTCCGTACTCCGTCGCTTCCAATCTCCTCCTCCGCTGCTTCCTTCTACATGTCTCCCTGTATCTCCCTGTCCAATTCTCATCACTTACTTTAAATACTATTTTGTTATCTTTACATGGATCCAGTGCTGCACTAGTATGAGATGTACGTCAAACATAATTACCTTTAATTGTATAATTAATTTCTTTACTTCGGCGTCATACACAGAGACCGCCGCATTACTCAAGAGCTATTAGACTAGATCTACAAGACATTACGTCATACGATTTCGTATGATCTTTATGTCGGACCCGACACTTTGAACAACTAGGGTATAACATGGGAGTGAATATATAACTCTTTTCTTTGTATCTTGACACCTCGTGTGCTCAGTTGAGTGTGTGAGCTTTAACGTGACCATGATACAAGGTGCGAGTATAGTGAACAAATATTAACGTTCTTAAATAATCACCAATTTTTAAATATTAACGTTCTTAAATAATCACCAATTTTTAAATATTAAATATTTAGATATTAAAATATCAAACTACATCAATTTGATATCAAACTAGTAAACTACAGTAGCAACAAAGGTGTACACATGGGTGGGTGGGGTTGTATTTTAGTCAAACAAGAGTCTTCGAATGTACTCTACTTCTCATGTGAACGTTTAACCCATTGTTGACAAGTAGTCCTATGCTAACCACGTACTAGTACCAAAGGTGTACACATGGGTGGGTGGGGTTGTATTTTAGTCAAACAAGAGTCTTCGAATGTACTCTACTTCTCATGTGAACGTTTAACCCATTGTTGACAAGTAGTCCTATGCTAACCACGTACTAGTACCACGCCCAGATGATAAAAATACACATCTTTCAAATATTCAGTAAGACTCATCATACTAAAAACTATGATGTGACGAGTCAGCAAAAGTTATTATTTACAAACAATTTTGCACAAATTTCGTTTGTGGGGTTGCCTTTTCGAACAACTGTAGTGTTAATGTTTTTGCTGGATATCCTGTGTCCATATTGAAGTAACTTATGCCATTCTTTGAGTAAGTGATAAAATTTCACTTTTATAATTCCGCAATGACAGCCTACATTTAAATGCTGCAGATGCTTGAAGCATGAAGGGTTTATATCTAACGATAGGCCTATACTGCATATATTTGAGGTAAATACTTACGAGTTTAATCAGATTACAAACTATGGGTGAGCGTTAAAAGTTTCTTACTTTTCCGGCATCAAACATATACTTTTTTGAAAGGAAAAAGTAGGTTTTGTGCAAATTCGTCTCAATTTCATTCGCAAAAATACATGACGGACAGCAGAAATTTGGCGTCAGAAAAAAATGCATAAAAAAGCAATAATAATTTTTGATATTCAGATTCAGTTTTAAGGTGCCTGATTGGTAGTATTGCTACTTGCTAAGATGTGTTATATATGCTGAGGCTAAAATATACATGTATGTGATGTCTTTCAGGTTGTCTTAACGGTACATGTTACTTTGTGAACACTAACGCAACGATGTGGCCAAACGCCTCGGAACAATGTGATAAAACATGCAGCGGTAGATTGGCTGTGGTTAAAGACAATGACACCCAGATATTTCTACATAAAATGACATCATCAGAGGTTTGGCTGGGTGGCAAGGAGGTCAATTTAACAGACTGGATGTGGATAGACCAGGAGGGTGCGTTAACTGGTATGTAAAACAGTGTATAGAAAACTACCTCCCTCTCTCTCCACAGCCCTATGAACATACTTCACACGGCGCTGCGTTATGCCATTAGCATGTATTTGTAGGTGTAACCTTACCAAAGACAGTGATCAAGTAAATCTCCCTGTACCCTCACCAAGAGCAATCTCTTTTTCAGCAACAACCTACACATACTGGAGCGGCCCACAGACATCTACTAATATAGGACAATCGATAGGACAACAACCAGATACAAATAATGGACATGGTCTTAAGTACCAGCCTGCAGTAGCTCTAATAAGGGTAGGCAACACGACAGAGACGTTTCCTTGGGTGGACAGAGAATACTTACAGACCCAGGCATCTGGTGTCATATGTGAAGCAGGTAAAGCAGCTGTCATAGGATATTTAAATCATGATTTTTCTTAAAAGAGGAAACTGCTATTTCAAGTTTATATAGATGACAGAACATGAAATGTCTTACTAAATTATATAAGAAAAGTACAGTGAAAAAGTATGTGAGAGATCCATATTATTAACCCTTTATATTCTTATACAAACTTTGTTAATCTTCTTCACATTTTACGTTAAGTTTGTTTCTTTCTTTAAAGTGCTAATATCCCTCTTTACGCATAGACTAAGACCTACATTTCCAGACAAGCAAAGCCAAGTATGCCGAGGTAATCACAGTTTCCACTGGGTTCAGAACAACAGCAGGTGGACAGAGATAAAGCACGAGGCATGTGTTTTCATCAGTGTACAACCAACATCTGAAATAATCACCTGGTTTGAAGGCCATAGGTTATGCAGAGAAGCTGGAGGAAAACTTCTGAAGATAGACAACGACACAGTTCAGAAAAACGTGGAAAATAGACTAAACAACAGTGGGCCGCGGTATTATTGGATGGGCTTGGTTCACAGTGAATGGAAATGGGTGAACGGTAGGTGAAATATTAGGGCTGTCATTGTTAAGCCATTAAGTGGATTATTGCAACTAAACTAATAATCTTCTGTCTACAGACGGTACTTTTTATATTTTATTGAGTTCTTTTATTGCTTTTCAAACATATTATCCTTTAAAAACCAATATGTTGATAGAAGTTTTTTTTTTTCATTCGGTCCATTATGTATTCATGGTATTCATTTAATATGAAACGGGCCTGAGCTATACTTCTCAGTAATGACTCGAACTGTTTATTAGTTTGGTTCTTGCATTGCATGGACTGTCGATCCACTTTAGGTTCTACAGTAATAAACAGTAACAAAAAATTAACATTTCCATTCGTATTCCTTCCTGGTCTTTTATCAGGCGACTTCTTGAACATAGTTCATGTTCTTATGGGAGATTACTATTGCATTTTCAAACTGATTATAAGACATAATTTTTAGTTATTATATTATTTATA